TGAATACAATGTTTTAAGCTCATTGAAATCTAGGTGTGGCTTATTTATTAGCTGCTTGTTATCCAGTGGTTTGTTTTCCATCAGCTTGTTTCCCAGTACAGATTCAGGTAACCCTTAAAGAGTGTTCCAGGTAAGAATAAGAGTACAGAGGCTTATAAAGACAAAAGTTCAGGAGGTTGTTAAAAGTTCACTGGCCATAATTGTGATGGACTCTGATGTGAGTCCAAAAATATTTGTCCTTAAGGAATCATGAGTTAATTTAGGGTAAGTGTCCAATACATAGACAGACTGTCATGAATTATTTTAAGCTAAGAATACAATAAGTAGATAGGTTACTGGCAGATAGATAAGTTTCTGGCAGATATTTTGGATGATTTCATCAGGTCAAAACTTAGACTTTCATTCATTCATACTAAATGGGCTCCTCACTCCATTTTACATAGCTCTCTTATCAATATCAACTCCATGTTGATTTTCCTTTCATAAGTGACAGAATCCAATCTGAAGAGTCTACATATGCATTGTATAACCCAATTTATATGAAATTCAGGAACAGGGAAAACTAAGAGGTGGTAAACAGATCATGTGAGAGTTTTGAAATATTCCATGTAATACTTGAGTGATGTACATCTGCCAATATCCACTTGTCAAAACCCATAGTTTTCTATGGCCCAATGAGTCAATTAAGTGATCGAGTAAGTGGTAGTGTCACAGGATAGAATACAGGATGTAAAAAAGAATCTGTATTAGAAAGGTATGGAAGCACTCACTGACACTGGTGGAGCAAAAGTTGCCAGCCTCAGTAACTGTGGTAATGAACAGAATGTGTAGACTAAAGGGAAAACATACTGCACAGAATCTATAAAGTTCCATTGCACAAGGGTAGGCGCTAAGAATGCTGAAACCATTCATCTGGAGTAGAATGAGAAATGAATTGAATGGATGGAAGATGGTGGGAATGAGGATCCTCACTGTCTAACTGGGAGTTATGGATAAGCAGGGGGAGATGTACACTGTCCATGTGATAATGGATCAGGCTGGAGGCATCAGCATACACTCGTCTTCAGCTTAATATGAATACAAACATTTTCACATAGAAATCTTTATAATTAGGAGTGTATTCTATTGGGGAGGGAGAAATTTCACTTCTTGTGGCTGGACTGATAGTAAAACAAACACAAGAGAGCCACAGGAGAAAAAAAATTTTAATTCCTATACACAAAAGTCTCATAGAAATAGGAAGTAAGTAGTAAAACCAGGCAGATTTTATACATCTAGAAAATTATTGATTTGTTATGAATTGACAGCCCAAAGGAATGTAGCTTTTGGGTACTCAATTAATGAAGAATCTTAATAGAGTTTGGGCTTGGGGGTGGTAAGTTAAAGAAGTAACAAGTTATGTTTATGTGGGCTTCTGAACCTTTCAAGTGACAGATTTATTTCCTGCTTTTAGAGCGATAGAGTGGGAGTCAGAGTGTCCCTCTTCCTTTGGCCATTTTCTAAGTAACTTAAATTTTAAACAATCACTATGTAGTTGTGGTAGATTTGAGGGAAGGGGCATGGAGTTGCTCCCTGAGCAACAATACATGTAGGCGGGAAAACAGGCATACATTTCCTTGCATTGTTGGCTGAGGACATTTTCCTCCCATATGTAAGTTCTTAATACCATTCTCTAATTAAAGGAACCAGGACTCTTTGAAGAGATGGCTTATACTAGAAGTGAGACAGTAAATATATGATTCAGAATAATCTTGAAACTTGTATCAGAATATAAGGAAGTACCGGGGGGTGGGGGGGACCAAAATATAGAATGATCTCAAAGGAAACAGGAGCCAATGAAAAGAGGTCTCAATATCCAAAGCAGGAATAGACAGAGCAACCAAATTCTGCATTGCTGGATTCTAATCAAAGATTAAAATAACTATCCATGTGCCCACAGTGGTGAAGTTAAATGATGACATAGGGTTTTTGTTATTGTTATTGTTGTTGTTTTGTTTTTTTAAATAAATGGAATTGAATAGAAAACTCCTATGCAGGAGAATTCCTAATAATCAATGGCATCCACCAAGGAGGTGGAGATAACCCCCATCTCCTGAAATGTAGGTTCCACATAGTGACCTCCTCCTGTTTAGGTCAGAAGCAAGAAAGGTCTGAGATCCCACTGCTGGGCATGTATCCAGAGCAACACTCAAATGTGAAAAGACACATGCACTAACTGATTTTTTTTTTACAACACTGGGCAGCATTAAATTGGGGGGGGGGGAATGGTGCCAGGCAATTGTTTATCCAACGAAAATTTTTCATTTCTAAGAGAAATGAAATTGGATCGTTGCTTCACACCACATACAAAATTAACTCAAGGTACATAAAAAGCTTAAATTTAAAGACAGGTAAAGCAACAATCAGCCCTCATCTGCTGAATCCACATTTGCAGAATCAGCCACCTTCAGATAAAAATAATAATAATAATTGGAGAAAGTTCCACAAAGAAAAACTTGAATTTGTTGCATGCCAGAAATGATTTAAATAATATTTCATTTTCTTCACAATTACTTACATATCACTTACATTGTATTAGGTTTTATAACTGATCTAGAGGTGATTTAAAGTATACAGGGAGATGTGATTAGATTATTTGCAAATACTACACTATTTTATATAACAGATTTGAGAACTCACAGATTTTAGTATCCACAGGGTGTCCTGGAACCAATACCTCACAGATAGGGAGGGAAGCTGTATAAACTCTCAAAGAAACAGAGAGGATAAGTCATCATGACCTTGGATTTAGCAATTTTTTTAGATCTGAAAGCAAACACAAGCAAGGAAAGAAAAAACTAAATTGCCTTTCCTCAAAATTAAAAACTTTGTACATCAGACGCTATCCAGAAAGTGAAATGACCACAAACAAAAATCAAATAAAATATTTGCACATTGCATACCTAAAAAAATTTTTATCAAGAACTTTTAAAACTCATAAAAACACAAAATCCAATTTTTAAGATAGTAAAAGGACTTACATAGACCCTTCTTTGAAAAAAAATGTGCAGTATATTTCTATATATATTTACAGGTAATATAATGTATATGTGTGTGGTCAAACTGTAATAATTCTACCTAATAAAACTGAAAAAAAACAGCAAAAATAAATAAAATTAGATTTTTTTAAAAAAAATTAAATACACCCTTCTCTGAACAAGACAAATAGTCAACAGGCACATGAAAAGACGTTAAAAAATCAGTCATGATGGAAATGCAAATTAATACCATAATGCTGTACCTTTTCAAGCACACTAGAAGCTGTACAATCAAAAAAATTAAAAACAACCAATATTGGTAAAAATGGAGGGAAATGGAAACCTTTAAACATTACTTGAAAAAGTTGACAATGGTACAGCTTATATGTAGTTTGTCATTTCCTCAAAAAGATAAAAATGCAGTTACCTTATGGTTCAACAATTTCACTCCTAGACATAGAACACAAAGCATTAAAAACAGGTGTTCAAACAAACAAAAAAATTGTTTGCAAATATTCATAGCAGCACTATTCACAATGGCCCAAAAAGCAGAACAATTGAAATGTCCATCAAAGGCTAAATAGATTAACAAACGGTATATCCATAAACCGCTCTATGATTCTGCCATATAAAGGAATAAAATGGTGCAGTCACAGTGGAGAACCACATGGGAGTTCCTCAAAAACTTAAACATGGGGTTAACATGTGATCCAAAAATTCCACTTCAGTGTATATATACAAAATATTTGAAAGCAGGGACTGGTGTTCAACCATATTCATAGCAGCACTAATCACAACAGCAAAAGTTGGAATCAACTCAACTGTCCATCAACAAATGAATGGTTAAACTAAATGTGGTGTATACACAATGGGAAACTACACAGCCTTAAAAACTAAGGAAATTATGACACATGCTGCAACGTGAATAATTCTTGAAGTCACTATGCTAAGTCAAATAAGCCAGACAAAGAAGGACAAATATGTGATTCCACTTATACCAGGTATCCAGATGTCAAATGCAGAGATAGAAACAATGTCATTGCAAGGAGCTGAAGGAAGTTAGTGCTTACTGGATACCGTGTTTCCCTTGGGGGAAATGATGAAGTTCTGGAGATGGACAGTGAAGTATCTGTACAACAGTGTGAATTTAGTTAATACCTTAGGACTGTGTATTTAAATGGTTTAAAAGGTAGCATTATGTTCTGTACTTTTAATAACAATGAAAAATGTGAATGAAATACTAATGATACATGTTACATCCTGGTTGAACACTGAAAACATTCTAAATGAAAGAAGCCACACAGAAGAGGTCAAGATCAAACTCATCTTACGCACTTCAAATCCATTAAGATTTTGAAAAAGAGGGAAATCTCAATAATAGTTTCAGAAAAAGAAAACTAGATCAGAATGGAAAAATACATTTCCCTAAGTTGGGGCAATGGGGAAGGTTGAAGTGGGCCTGTGGATGGGATTACAACGTGGAACCATAAAATTTCTTCATTTGGGGTTTATGTGCTGGTTCCCTGAGAGTATCCCAGTTTTAGAGCATTTTGTCAGGTGGTAAATATGAGTACTTTGTAATACTATTAAAAGTTTTTTATATGTTTGAAATTACTAGAAAATAAATTACTTTTCAAAACAACCGTTATCAACACTGTGTTGAAAAAGCAGAGAAGACATCAGATTTCCTTATAGAGACCAACCCTTAACTAGATTCAGTTCACCCAAAGTTCTGATGATAACCACCCTTGTAGGAGTCCACAGGTAATTTAGAGGCACTGTAGGAAGATTAGGAGATACTGTGTCTTGGATGCTGTGGATGACCTGGATGGAGTCCAAACAGGGTGATTTCTGATTTCTAGTTTTCCATAACAAATCATCAAAAACCTGTTAGAACTGATGATTGATTTTAGTACAGCTACAAGGAACAAAATCAACAGACAAAAATCAGTTGTCTTTCTACATTAATAATGAGACATCATCATACTTACCTGGCAGGGGAGATACCATGATCATGAAGGTGGTTTTCCCAGGGAGAGGCTTATCCATTGCACCTCGGATATGCTGACCCCTGCGATTTCTCCAAATGTCAGAAAATCGACTGCATAATTTGTGGTAGTGGTGGATGGCATTTGTGCTCTCCCTTAGGAAAATAAACAAATAAATAAATAATAAGACATTATAAAGAGACTTTTTAAAATCCCATTTACAATTGCATCCTCCCCAAAAACTACCTAGCAATAAATTTAATCAAGGATGTGAAAGATCAGAACACTGAAAATTCTAAGACACTGAGGAAAGAAACTGAATAGACACAAATAAATGGAAAGATATCCTGTGCTCATGGATGGAAGAATTAATATTGTTAAAACATCCATTCTAACCAAAGCAATGTTCAGATTCAAAGCAAACCTGGTCAAATCACTATGCCCTACATCAGAAAATAACAAAACCCTGTAAATTGACTATACTTAAATAAAATAAGTTTCAGTGTCATTTTTCACAGAAACAGAATAAACATCCCTAACATTTGTGTGGAAACCCAAAGGACCCTGAACAGCCAGAAGGATTCTGTGAAAGGAGGACAAGTTGGAGGCATCTCCCTCCCTGACTTCACACAGCATTACAAAACTACAGTCACCAAAAAAGTGCGGAATTGGCACAAAAACCAGGACATGGACCAGAGGAACAGATAGAGAGCCCACAAATAAACCCAGGGGTATGTGGTGGGTTAAGTCACAAGAAAGGAGCCAGGAACATATGCTTAGGGAAAGGACAGTCTCCTCAATAACACTGGGAAAACTGGACACCACACACAAAGGACATGGCACACTCTACACCACACACAAAAACTGACTAAAACCCACAGTTCCCCACATCCAGCCCTTCCTCTCCCGGGCCCTCTGAGGAGGGATTCCCCTCAGCAGTCAGCCCCTCACAGGAAAATTCTCACTTTTTCTTTCTCCACACCCTTCCTTCAGTGCAGCAACTCCTGTCGGGTCCTGAGGAGATTGGGGTCCCTTCAGCATGGACATAACCCCCCGTTGTCCCAAAGGCCCAGCAGGTCCAGAGGAGACGTGGCTCTAGTCAGCTGCGCAGGAAGCCAAATCCTCGGGCTGAACATGTGTTCCCGCCACAGGTAGGGGAGGCGGGCTCTGGGCCCTGCTGGCCAATGGGAAAGTGCAGGCTCAGCCACCCTCACAGCCAGCGGAAGCTCCACCCAAGGGCAGCTCAGCTCAGTCCACTACACTGCGGACAGGAAAGTGTGGAACAGGCACCCTTCACAGCTAGGGGCCCCACCCCCCTGAGAATAGTTCAGCTGAGTCTTTTAAACTGGAAATTCAAACTAAAATAAAGCCAAATATCCCTAGCTTCTCCAAACAGTTAAGAAACAATTCATTGGAAGCCATATGGAATGAACTGAATGGAAACAGAAACTTTAACACTTACAACAAATTCACTCAAATTTATTCACACACATTTAAAATCCAAAATTGAGTTATAGAGATAAACAGAAGAAAATCTATGTGACCTTGCATTTGATAATGTAGATTATGACCTTTGAGTTTTATCACACTACACATAAAGCCAATCCACAAAAAAAGTAAGATTATGGACTTTATAAAATTAAAGACTTCTATTCTGAAAGACCTTATTCAGAAAACCAAGACAAACCATAAAACTGTGAGAAAAATATTTACAAAACACGTGTCTGATAAATGATTTGGACTCACTCAAAATATACAAAGAACTCTAAAATAACCCCATAAAAAACGGATAAAGATCTGGACAGATACCTGATCCAAGAAGACATACAGATCATAAATAAGCACACAAAAATATGCCATCAGGGAATTACTAATTAAAATCAAAAGAGATCATGACACACCTGTTAGAACTGCTAAACTCCAAAAATATGACAATCTCATTGCTGGTGGTGAGGAGCAACAGAACTCTCCCTCATTGCTGGTGGAATGCATGGACAGCCACTTCGTAAGACAGGTTGGCAGTTTTTCCCAAAGCTAAACAAGTCTCACCTTGGGATACAGCATTCCTGCTTCCAGTATTTAAGCAAGAAAAACAATGTCCAAAGACATACTGGGATTCAGTTATGCACAGCAGCTCTGCTCATAATGGCTAAAAACTTGAAATCAGGATGTCCTTCAACAGGTGAATGGATAAGCAATTTGGGGTACATCCATGTCAAAAAGAACAGAATAAGGCACCCCAAAATAGGCTTCTTTGGCATAAGGATTAATTTAGTCTAATTTAAAAAAAAATAATCTTAGAAAACTGAGTGGAGGTTGCCCTTTTGTAAGTGGCATTTACATTTATTAGGAAAATCTACATTTGTAAGTGTGTCCCTCTTTGTACCAGAAATAGAAGGCTGATTAAACCTTAACTAACTCTTATCAATAGAGAAGTCTTGACTTAAGTCTGCATAACAAACATAGCTTCCTTTACTGAGCTTTCATGGTAACCTGCCATAAATGACTTCTTCCCTCCCCAAGGCCTTGCTTTTGTTTTAAACTAAAGATCATATTTAAGGTGATGTCTTTGGCCATTTTGGGGGGGGGCTCAGTTTTCCTGGGTATCTTTCCGGTATACTGGAGGTATACGTGTTATTGAACTTGTTTCTTTCTCCCGGTAATCTATCTTATCAGGGGTGGGGCTGGGAGGTCTCATCCAAGAGCCTAGAAGGATAGAGGGAAAACTGGTTTTACTCTCATATACATGCAATGGAATACTACTTAGCAATAAAAATAAAACCATCAACCCACATAAAGACATAGGCAAATCTTACTTGTATGTTACTAACTGAAAGAATCCAGTCTGAGGAGGCTGCACACAGTATGACCCTATTTAGGACAATTATGGAAAAGGCAAAACTACACACATAAGCAGATAATGGGGTGGGGGTGAAGGGTTGAACTGTTCCTTGGGATAATTTAGGTTGTGTCACTATGAGTATGTCTAAGTCCATACATTTGTACAGCCCAAAGGTCAATCATAATCTATTCGAATTTAGTTGATTAGGGTGTAGGAGTGTTGCAGAATGGAATACACAAAGTGACAGAATCTAACTATTAGAAATGGGTGGAAGGTAGAGGGCAAGTCAGTAGAGGGCAAGAGGTGCTGACCTAGGTTAACTTTTGAAATGTACAGAATCATTTTGCAAAGGCAAAATGGACTACTGTTAAACTGTGGGCTTTAATTTATAAAATTCTTTCCAGGGTGTAGTAGCTAACAATTCTAAAACTGAGACAGGAGGGAAAGGGGCAGGGCACAGCCATTCAAGGAGTGACAGCAATTAACACCAAAATGGTGGAAGATTCAACTCCCATTTGGCCTTGAGGATTAAGTTGGTAGGAGGTTTGACTTCTAGTAGACTCTGCATTTCATTATATGCTCATTGAAATAGCATGATAAATAATATGTCTGCAGGAGCCATGACAGTCCCAAGGCTAACCACAAAAGGCCAAAGAATGGGTGGTGGCCCAATATCTGTGAATCCCAGCCTCTTCCCTAAGGTAGTTGGAATGGTCCCACCTGTAGGCATGTGAAGCTACAGAGCCCATAAAAGCTGGCAACACCATGCCTAGCCGCCATTTTTTGCTCCCTCCTCTTTGGAGATGACCTACATTCTGTCTATGGAGTGTGTACCTCCTTTTACTTTAACCTGAGCACCCAATTCCCACAGCTCTTTCCTTGCCTTTCTCTTGCCTTACACCCTAGGCAGTATGTACCTCTCTAAATAAATCTACCTTTACTCAACTATGGCTTGCACTTGAATTCTTTCCTGCATGAAGCCAAGGACCCACACTTGGCAGAGCACATCCCAGGGACTCAACCAAGATCTGGGATATGGCCTTCTTCACACCCCACATCCATTTTCCTGCATCATCTCGGGGAGCTTTTCCTACAAGGGTCTGTTGGGAGAGGAAGGGGTGAAAGAGCTGGGAGCTGATGGACAAACCCTCACCAAGCACCTCTCTCTCACTTGGGCCATTTAGGAACACAAAGGGCCTCATTCCTGACTGAGGAGTCTGTCCTGGAAGGGGGCATTCCTGAGACCCACTTGCATCTTCAGCTTTGGGGTCAGGGTCATGGTGGGGGGCCCTTCACCCAGCACGTGTCTCCAGCTGATACTCTGGACATCTGATACTCTGGACATCTGATACATTAAAAGCCACCTACAAGGCGATCCTCCTATGAAGACCTCTGAGAGGCAAGTCAGAATGGGGTAAAGTGGGGTGGAAGGAGTAAGAGCATGCTTTACCAAGGATGCCATCCCAGGTCCTTCCAAGTGTCAAGATCTCAGAGGATTCCAGCTGCTGGACCCAGTCCCTTCCACTGCTCTCATTGACCCCCTTCCTTCAGCCTCCACACAGTGATAAACAAGTTTCTTAACACATCAGGGATTCAAGGAGTTCTCATTGACCACCCAGGGGCACATAGTTTTTGCCTAGGCCCTGGTCCTCCAGGTGTGCAGTGCTGAGCAGGCATCATGGGGGCCCCACAGAAGTGTAGGGGGCGACAATGGACTGGACTTATTCCATTATCCAATTTTTGACATCTCCTGAGCAGCCACCATGAACCAGGCCCCAGGCTAGTCACTGGGGTTGGGGAGACAGAAATCCTTCTGTGCTCAGACAGAGGATTGCCTGGGAGAGGGACCACAGTGGGACCACGGACCCCAGACGCACCACCAACCAAAACCCTGAGCACCGACTCAGACCTCTAACCACACCAGAGCCCACCCATTCCCAGAACACCCAGGACTGAGGTCCATAACATGGGAGCATATCTCCTCAAGAAAACAGACCTGGGAGTGCCCTTGCTCCCAATGCAGCCCCAAAGTGCCCAGAAACCCCACATGCCCTAGTGGAAGGTTTTCACCCAAACAGGTGAACAGATCTGCAGGCTGGAGTTGGGGATAAGCCCAGAAAATCACACCCAGTGGTGGAAATGATAAGGAGATGCCCAGACCTTTGTGAGCAGCTATCCCCTCCCATGAGTCCTCTCCCTGGACCCCTGGACCCTGAAGCCAGGGCTGGCAAGAAGAGCTGGGCTGAAAGCTTCTCTTTGCCTTTTAGTTGATCATCTCTTTCTCACACATGATGGGGAGTCTTGGAAAGAAATGATG